ATATTCGAAGCATCTGTTTCGGCCGCGTGGGCGTCTACAAAGGCCGTACCGCAATGCGGGGCTGAATTTTGGCAGGTATTGATTTTAGTTTCGAGTGCGGGATTTTCTCTCGTGCGTCTGCTATATGACGAGACTCAGCACGGAGGTACGGCGCAAGGAGAAGGGGAGGGGGAGGGGGAAAGGGAGGGGCACGTGCATTGCTTCGCGAAAAGCACGGCGGGCGTCCGTGCTTTTGTGTGCATATGGAGATACACGTACAGGGAGGGACGGAAGAATATTTTCATTCGGGTATTGGATTCTGGTCAAATCCTCTCTCTCTCCTTCGCCTTTCTTCGTCTTGGGCCTCCTCCTTTTTCTTCTCCTTTATCCTTCCCCCTCATCCTTTATCCTTCCTTCCTCTCTTTCCTTCTCCTATATCCATCTCCCCTTCCTACAGCCTGAGATATAAATTTTAATCTTTATCTTCCTTCATCTGTCTTATCAGTCTTTAACTTTCTTCTCTTCCCCTCCTTCCTTGATGTCTTCTTTTCTCCTTTTTCCCCTCTCATTCTTCACATTTTACTTTCTTCTTACTTTTTCCTTTCCTCCTCCCCCCCCCTCCCCTCCTTCATCCTTTTTATCTATCTCTCTCTGATTCACTTTAACCCTATCTCCCTTTCTTCCTCTCGCGCTCGTGTTCCCGTCGCTCCAAAAACAGACGTCATTATGGGCGACGTGGGGATAAAAGCCTTCGTTTTTGCATTTCGCCAAAAGGGATTTCGAACCGCGACGCCTGCGCTGAGATGGAGATGGAAGGGATGCTGACTGCGGGATGAAGGAGGGAGAGATGAAGGAGGGAGGGAGGGAGGGAGAGTAAGAAGGACGGACAGAGGAAGAGGAGAGGAAGAGAAACGAGAGTAAGAGTGAGGTAGGAGTGAGAGCGAGATATGCAGAGAAGGGGTAAGTGAAGCACAGACAGATCGGCAGACATTCAGAGGGAAACTTCCACGGATGAAGAGGCGCGGGGTAAAGAGGACACTAACGCCGTCGTGAAGGAAAACGAAGGGCGGCGCCTGGAGGAGGGAACTGTGCAGATCAAACGAGGCGATGAGGTGGAGGGTCTTGCAAGTGGTGGAGGGACAAGCAAGAGGTGGAGAGCGGAGCGAGGTGGAGGGATTGGTGAGGTGGAGGGATTGGCGAGGTGGAGGGATTGACGAGGTGGAGGGATTGGCGAGGTGGAAGGTCGAGCAAGTGGTGGAGGGATGAGTGAGGTGGAGGGGCGAGCGAGGGAAGGGAAGGGAAGGGACGCAGGTGGATGCACGGGAAGTTACGCAAACCAGCGGCCAGATGCGGGCTCGGGTACTTTGATTAACCCCCTCCCCTTTGCCCTGCACACCCCCCCTCTTCCCCCTTGGCCACCCCTCGTCTTCCTCCCCCTCTTCTTCTCCTGTTCTCCCTCATCCATCTCCTTTCCCCCCTCCCTTTCCCCCCCCTCTAGTCCCTCCACCTCCTCTCTTCCATTTTCCTGATCCCTCGCCCTTCCCAACTCCTCTCTCCCTTTCCCTCCGCCACTTCTCCTCCCTTTCCTCCTCCCTCCCTTCTACCCCCCCCCCCCCGCTCTCGGCCAGCCCCGTAGTCCTTGCCAGTCATGTTGTCTCCCTTGTTACTCATGTCATGATGCAACACTACTAAGCACGCGGGTACGCAGCCACTTGTGCACCGCTCAGACACACCCATGCACATGCACATGCAAACGTACATACACATACACGTACGCACAAAATAAACGTTCGCAAAAAACTTTCTTTTTCTCTTTCTTTTTCTCTTTCTCTCCTTCCCTATCCCTCTCCCTCCATGTCTTCCTCCTCTTATCTATCTCTCCCTCTCCTCTCACTTTCCCTCTCCTCTCCTTCTCCTTCTATCTCCAAGTCTCCCTCTCTGCCTCCCTCTCTGCCTCTCCTCTCTCCAGCCCCATATCTGTCTTTCTCTCTCTCTCTCTTACCTCCCCCTTTCTTTCTCCCTTGCTCCGTCTCTCTCTCGGTCGCTTTTTGGCTATCTGGCATCCTCTCGCCACCCTCGCAATGTTTGATTAAAGATCGATATTATCTTTGAGGAACGACAGGCGGTATTAAAACTTTCTAAGACTTTGGGGGATTTGTTCGCTCTTGGGTTTTTTTATGATTATGATAATTAATCAAAAGAAAATGATCACTTATAAAACTATACGTAGTTACATTTACTATGGAGAATATGCAGTAGGAAGAGCGTAACATTTCGAAGAGCGATATCGGTTTCCTCTATTTAATATTTCCGGTACAAAATGACATATGACAGGCAGGGAAATTTCATCGTTTTGTGAATTCTATCGGTTGGGGTAGGGGATGGGAAAGTGGGGGGGGGGGGGGGTGCCAGCGCGTTAAAAACTGAATTGCTGCTTGACTGATCGCTGTTCCTCTGCTCCTCTTTACATTCTCTCTCTGACTTGTTTCTTTGTTCGGTCCCGTTTTCCCATTCTTTGTCG